TTGAAGGTAAATCCTCCGCTAGCATGGCCCACACCTTGTCCCCCATGGCGTTCAAGGTGTTAAGCTGCAAAAAGGTTAATAATTTAAATTAATTAATAAAATTTTGAATTATAAAGGGAATATTATAGACGCAAAGTGTAAACATAAAGCTTCCGAAAAACGTTGACAAAAAATTAGTTTACATACATACACACATACATAAATTCACGCCTGTCTCCCATGGGAGTAGGCAGAGACTATGGAACGCCAATTGCTACGATTCCTACATACCTCTTTCGCTTCATCAACAGTCATCAATCAAAAAAAATAGTTTTCAGGTACAATTTTAATCGATTTTGTTCTATGTTATTCACACAACATTCGTCGGCGATATTTCCGAACCAATACGACCTTCAAACGTAACATTTAACATAACATCACGCCTTTTATCCCCGAAGGGGTAAGCATTTTTTTTTTTTAAGCGGGGAAAATCATCGAATGGCTGCTCCCGCCTGGGTGAGGCGGGAGGGAGTGTCAGACTCTTACTGACTAAAAACCACCCCGTTCCTTCTCCTGCACGTCGAGCCGTAGCCCCGGTTACCCGTTAGGTTCTCCGCGACAAGGGGTAAGCATAGGTGTATATTATGCCACTGTAGAATGTAACACGACTACCCCGGGAATCGAACCCTAGACCCCTTGCCCGGCAGTCGCACTTGCGACCACTCTGCTATGAAAATAGAACTTGTTTTTGACCGTCACCTGTTTTTCGGGTATCTTGTTTATACAAGGCGTACTTCACACTCTACGTCCTAACCGCAGCATCAAACCTAATATAAATACATCCACAGTAATTAATACAACATTTACACCGCATGAATAATAAAATACAATTTCAAAACGTAAAGTTCTATCAGATCATTGGACCGACCCTTTTTATAGACAAGCATAGGTATTTATCAATTTAGATTTTTATTACCTACATTTACTTATTACTGCCTCGTTGGCCCAGTGGTCGCAAGTGCTGCCGGGCAAGAGGTCTCTAGTTCGATTACCCATGTCGGGCAATGTATTACTGGGTCTTTTTTAAATTCTCAGTAGCAGCACGGAGTCTGGAATTGTACCCGGTATATGGCAATACGCTCACCCCCTAGTAATGGGACTCATAACATAAAGACTGAAAAGTGGGTGTTACATTGTACAGTGGCATTAAGTGCTGTAATGTGCGTGCACCTCTGCCTACACCTTCAGGGATAAAAAGCGTGATGTTATGTTATGTTACGATACGAGGACTCTCATACAACAAAATACTTTAACACATGACACCCAGACCCAGAACAACAATCTGTGGATCACACAAAAGAGGATAATCATAGCATCGTGAAACTTGGTAATTATAATGTTGATTAGATGACAATACAATATTATGGTATCATCGAGAATAAAAGTATTTGAAAGCGTGTTCTTCGCTTTTTAAACTAAAAAAAAATGTTTTATATAGACGGGTCCCTCAGGAAGCCACTACAGAATGAACTTGCACGGTTCTCACACATAATTTATATACAAATTGTCTAGACTTTAAAAGAGACAGACCTTTGAGTTTGTTTCGGCATTTCTTCTCAGAGTAATCAGTTACAAAATGTCGACCTCATCGTTCGCTTGAAAAATTTACGTGTAAAAGTGCTGCCTTGTAGCCTATTTGCAGAAATAAATGTACTAATAAATTCACTAGGGAATCGGTCATGTGCGAGTTTGACTCGCACTTGACCAGTTTTTTTTTATTGCATTGGGCATCATAAACGCGTTGATGGTCAGTTAAATATAAGACTGGTTGTAAAACAAGTTAGGAAGAGGTCATTAGCTAACACTGGACAATAGAAAATTAACATTTTGAAAATAGTACCTACGTAAGAGATGGTTGTCGTTGATATTTTCGAAAATTGTTCTTTATCGATATTCGGATGTTGAAATCGATTATTTATAGTTGGTTCTGGTTTGTTCCCTTTGTCTCGTTTGGTGTTTTTTTTTGTGCAAATTCGTTGAAGCGATGTAAATTGTATCTAATGATTTTTTTTGTAGTAACAATCCTTGAATATTCTCACGATGCAGGCATTGGATGTTATAATTATGATGCTTTTTAGATCATGAAAATGAAATATTTCATGTCTATAAGTTTATTATCTTGCAAACCGTTTTTTTTTATCTATTTATCTAGACTATTGAGCATTTACGAATAAAAGAAATACTTCACAAAAAATACAAAATCTTGCTACAAGTCCAAAATCGGGCAAAGCGAATGAAGAACCAAATAATTAAAATTACATTAAAATCGATTTACAACCCGAATATCGATAACAATATCGAACTACCATCTCAGATCAAAACGTGATACAATGGAGTTACTCCGAGTTCCTGGTACCAAATGGTGTGGCAAGGGATTCTCAGCCACACGGTACTCTCAGCTCGGAGGGCACACGAGAACTGATAGATGCTGCAGAGTCCACGACTTAAGATGCCCCTTCTGGATCGGGGGCATGGAGAAGAAATACGGGATCTACAACTGGCGTGTCAACACGCTAATGCACTGCCGATGTGATGAAAGGTATGGCTGTAAAACTGATTGTCGTTGCTTGATTGTTCTTTTTTGCGCTGCTGTCAATGTCATTTGGTTTTGGCGGGAGTTTTGGTTGTCATTTTTTTTTGTTTGCGGTTGTTGTCTATGGTAGTTATTGTTTTTTTTTTGTTGTGTGTTGCATGGTGTTTGGATGTGGTGATGGTTGATGTATTATTATTTTTTCGATTTTGTCTCTTTATTGTTTTTTAAAGTATCTATAAATATAGGTACTTAAAAAAATTTAAAACTAAAATTGACTCTACGTGTGATATTTGGTTGATATTATAATAATATTATTTATGCATTTATAATTATGCAACATCTAGGTACTTACTTATTCAAAAATAACATCTTATAAAAATGATAATCAAAACAAAAAAATCTTTTCAAAAATAAAATCCTAAAATTAATTAAGCTATTGACTCAACTAATAACGAAATTAATTCCTTAATTAGAAATCCCATAGAACTAATAAAAAAGTGACGTTAAAATTAATTTATGAATATTATGACATTGCCGCCGTGACAGCAACCTTTTTTAGGGTTCCATAGCCAAAGGATGAACACGGGAACCGTATTAAGTACTACGATTCCACCGTCCTTTTCTCATGAACCGTGACAGCTAGACAGTGTATAATATGTAGGTTCATATTAAAACTTTCATAAGACATACTAAATTCATTTTTATATTTTTGTATCACTAGCGTAACTGTTTGATGAGGAACTCGACTAGTTTTAAACCATGACTGCCTCGTTGGCCAAGAGGTCGCAAGTGCGACTGCCAGGACTCTTGATCTCGATTTCAGGGTCGGCAAAGTATTACTGGGTTTTAAAAAAAATCTCAGTAGTGTCACGGAGGGAATTGTGCCCCGTATATAGCAATAGGCTCACCCCCTATTACATGGGACTCATAACATAAATAGTGAATAGTGGGTGTTACATTGTACAGTGCCATTAAGTGCCGTAATGTACACCTCTGCCGACCCCTTTAGGATAAAAGGCGTTATTTTATGTTAGATGTGTTGTCATTCTAGCCGAGTTCCTTGTTAACAGTAATAATTAAGATTATGTAGGTATATATCTGTAGCAGTTGTAACAACAAACAGTAAGAACGAAATTAAATCAATAAAATAATATTAACTCGTCGAGTACCGGTTTTGTAGACACAATTATAGAACAATAGGTTGCGGTCACCGGTGACCGCTTGGTGTTTGACAGTTTAAATAGGACTCCCATGCAACGCACGTAGCTTTCTGCCTCGCACAGCAAAACTGTAGAATGATCTGTCGTCGTCGGCGGTATTTCCGAACCGATACGACCTTCAACCCTTCAAGAAAAGAGCGTATTTTTTTTATAAGGCCGGCAACGCACCTGTGACTCCTCTGGTGTTGCGGGTGTCCATGGGCGGCGCTGATCGCTTACCATCAGGTTATGCGTCTGCTCGTTTGCCTCCTATTCCATAAAAAAACTAACAAAGTTGATATTAATGTCATTTCTAACTCGAATGAATAAATGAACGACTGTTACGAACTACAGAACCCTTCCTCCGCGAGTCCAACTCGCAGTTACTCAGTTTTTTATTAAAATGTGTCCCAAAATGGCCGCCGTACATTAATAGAGTCATTTCCTAGTTCCCCATGTCCTAGCGTAAAGAATTGATGTGATATAGTGGAAATAAAATAAAAACCTTCGTCTCTACTGCCCTGAGATAAAATTAAGGGGAACAGAGAAATGTTTGGAGATGGTGTTGTCACTCTTTTTATTGTTATACTTTTTAGCTGTGAAAAGATGTCAAAGTCAGAGTCATTTCTACGTATAAAATGTACATAGAAGTGACGTCACGTGACATTTCAAATTAATATATCGTCGAATATTCGTTCCTGTGAGAAAATAAAAAATACGTGTCTAATGATTTAAGATAATCTACCAAACGGACATTAAAATAAATTAGGCATCTACCCTATTCCACATTGTGTCAGGGGCATGACAAATAGGCTTGCCCCTATACAACTTGACTGATAAATAACGAGAAGTTATCAACGAAAACATTTAAGTAATAGATACTTATTTACATTTTTATTCTAAAATTACAAATTCATACCATTTCGAAGTGTAAAAGATATTAACGTTTAACTTCGAAGGGATGAGCAGAGATTGTGCTGTTCAAGCAAGTTTTTAATAAAATATAAGAAATAATACAGAAAAAAAAACATAGGTTATAATAGTAGCCAAGACAGAAAGTACATTAAAAACCCATATAAAAATTGATGAACACTATAAAAAATGTAACATTATACTATCGCAGACACTCCATCCCTCTTTGTTATATCAACAAAAAAGGCACAGATTGTATCTCTCACCTTCTAATTGGTGCTCATAAATATATATCAGAGCGTGGCATCTCTGTCTGTCTGTCTGTTTGTATGTGCCGTGATAATATACTAGTCTTCATTGCTTAATTAGTTAGAAAACTGTTTCCTTTAGACTTATAATTTGAAAAGTACCACCCCCAAAGGGGTAGGCAGAGGTACACATTACGACACTTAATGCCACTGTACAATGTAACACCCACTTTTCATTATTTATATTAGGAGTCCCATGTAATAGGCGGTGAGCCTATTTTTTTTTTTTTTATGGGACATGCCCGCCACAACCTCCCAAAACCGCTGCAACTCCTGTAAGCCAGGATCTACAGTAGATACAACCATGAAAACACCGGAACATTGAAGTCCGGCGCGTCCCAGGGACATGAGTAACTGTCTTGGTTCCCGCAACGAAGTGAATCAGAAGATATTATAAGAGGAGAAGAAGAAAAACTATGGTTTTCACTTCCCTCGGTGAATTACTGCAGGAGACAGAATGAATTAAGCCTAAAGGCACAAAGAAGAGACTGTACAACTGGGTGAAGCCCAGTCGCCAAGCACCACGGAAATTTGACTAAAAACTAAGTGGGTCCTATGTGTGAGCTGTTATACTTGCTTCCAATAATAGGTATGGCAAAAACGCCTAAACGCACGGAAATTCGTTCTAGATTCCACAAGGTCCGTATAATAAACTACACCTGACGAAACAATTAAATTATTTAACATAGTGTTACGTTCATATTGCCAGAGATCACACTCCCAGAGTATGTGATGGGCCGACTGCTCGTATCGCAACTCCTCTGTCGAACATTGGCACCATGGTGAATCAATAAGTTTAAATGAGAACAATTTGCCTTTAAAGTTGCCGTGGCCAGTAAGAAATTGGGCAACACAGTGATCCACCTCCAACCATGTCCTCTCCAGCCGCTCATGCACGGATGGAAAGAACTGATACAGGTGGCGGCCCTTAATAGAAGATGCCCATCTACCCTGCCATTCAGTTATAAGCTCATCCCAAACGTCCGTTATTGGCTTAAACAATCTTGCAATTTTATTTCTATCACGTTCTGCCAGAAAGCTTGCTGACAAATTAGGTCTCGCACTGTAGTACATAGCAGCACGTCGCTGCACCTCAAGATCTACCGGAAGTACGCCCGCGAGCACAGGTAGGGCTTCAGTGCTAACCGTCCTATAAGCCTTACACAGGAAAATCAAGGCTAGACGCTGGCCTTGAAGAAGTTTTCGCCGTACCGCGCCTATTGTGGCCCTATCAGCCCAGACAGGTGCCCCGTAGCACACGCATCCCAGGTAGGTTGCTCCGTATATGATCCTGAGCGTAAGAAAAGAGAGACCCCAGGTGGCTTTTGAAATTCGCGTCAGCGCATAGAAGTTATTTTTGGCTTTCTCACTAATAGCCTTAATATGCTCAATGAAAGAAAAGTTTTTTTCCAAAACTAGTCCGAGATAGCAAACCGACTCCTTTCGTTTTACGGAAACGTTGTTAAATTTAATAGACGGCCACGACTTTAGATTTCCTTTAAGTAATAGCTGGTAAGTTTTATAGGGTGCAAAAGTTAAGCGATTTCGTTCGCCCCATCGCGAGATCCTACTGAGACAGTGAGCCTATTGCCATATGCGGCACAGTTCCAGACTCCAAGTTACTACTGAGAATTTAATAATACTTTACCCGACCCGGGAATCGAACCCAAAACCCCTTGCCTGGCAGCCGCACATGCGACCACTTGGCCAATGAGGCGGTCAAGAGCAAGAGCAAGGGGTTTTTATATAAGTATTATATATCTCATTTATGAAGATAAAGCTGAGGCACCTTAATTATGTCTAATGTTATATTAAGAAAACCTCTTGCTTGACATTAATGCTCATATTAGTATTTAACAACTAAGTAGCTGAATAGCTTAACGTTCTCTTTAGGACACATAAAAAAGAACCTCCCATCCCCAAGCTAGCTTCGACAAACACTGCTTGTGCCATACAAAGCTGAAGTCAAAATCCGTACAAAAAGATCGATATCTCAAATTCATTCAAACGTACAAAAAAAAAAGAAATTAAAAAACCTAAACTAGGTGTTTATGGTATCCAATTGTCATTTAATCTTTTTTTTTACCTTCGGGTCGGAGGCAAAGGGAAGAATCCTACACAGCCTTGTATCGAGTTTGAATCAGAGATCGGTCGAATCGATAACAAAATTCGTGTTATTTTTGTCCGTACAATATATTATTAGGTTCGAATTGTTACATTTTTATTGAGAATACAAAGGTGTAAAGAAAGGACTATTTTGGAGCCTTAATTGAGCTATTTACTATCACTTATCAACTCATTTGGATCGATCAACATCTTCTTAACTTAGTGTTTTATAAAATGCACGCTTTTTGCGTATCTCATCTACACCATTAAATCTATTTCGTTTTCGTCCCGAAGTAAAATGGCTGTCTTAATAATACAATAGTTTTACAAAGAAATAAAATGTTTAAAGCAAAAAATAATAAATGAACTATAGCAAAAAGCAAACATCGAAAGCGCATACGAACTCATAGCACATTATCTAAATTTAAGTAAACAAGTAATTCTCGAAGAGGTATTTCTCGTGGGGTGGTACGTGCAACAC